GGCCCACCTCTTGGCAATGATGGCACTTGAGTTCGGATTGAGGTAGACGTCTTTGGAACTGGGGCTTGTTGACAGCAAAAGCAGAAGAGTCACCTGAACTTGGTGCAGCAGCAAATACTGTTTCTCCTTCTCCAGGCCTCATATCCAGCTGGTTCTGAGTGCGAAGTCGTGTTTCTTCTCGAATTAGGCTGCCAAGAAGACCTTCGAGCTGCAATTTATCTTTGTTCAGAAGTGTAGAACGTACCGCCTCAAACTCTGGTCTAAGCCGCATGAGAAACTGCAGCATCCAGGTCTGGTTGCGTTCTTCCTTGACTTCTTCGGACGCCTCCTTGGATCGCAGCGAGGCGGTGAGCAGGTCTTGTTCAGTCCATAGAAGACGGGCAACGTTGAAGTAGGATGTAACATCCTTATCACCTTGTTGAAGCCGAGCAAGATCGAACTCCAGCTCAAATTGTCGAGCAATGTTGGTCGTAGCATATGTGGTGGCGAGATGAGTCCACATAGAATGGGCGTCTGGTAGTAATTGCAGACCTATGACAATGGAAGGATCAACAGAATTGAGCAACCAGGTCATTACCTTCGCATTGTTTTGATCCCAGCGAGTAACATCCTCTGCAGAAGTCGGTGGAACCTTTGTTTTGGTGATGTTCCGTCAAGTATTCCCGCAAGCCCCTTTCCCTGAACAAAGATCCTGAACTGAAACTCCCATAAAGCTATTTACGTGGTTCAGCCAAGCTTGATATGGTAGCTTGGCTTAATCCACGGGGAGAACAAAGGCTGCAGATATATTTCGATGATCCCCCATTGTCCCTCGGTACACATATATATACTAATACTCCTACCCCTTCCTCAAGTTACACTACGGGTAGGACTAAGCTAGCTGCTCAAGCTAAGCTACTAAGAGTCATAAAAGAACTCTACAAACAAACTCCAACTAGGATACAATAGCTTCGTAAGCTGTATTAGAAAGATAAGCATCCGAATATGCTGCACAAAGCATCCGAATATGCTGCACAAAATATGCTAAATCCAGAACACTCATCAACAGCCAGTTAAGATTTACCTAAAATCATGACTGTACCCAGAATCTTATGCTACAGATTGTTACTTAAAATCGGGTAATTTCAACAGTTAAAACTTAAAATCTGTAAAATCAAACAATTTTTATGACACCACCAACCATGCAAAACATGATAGTTGGTCTATCACGTCTTCCTAAATACTTGAAACTCATGTCTAGTTGTGAATTGGAAGTTTCCATTGTTGTTAAAATCTTAGGATTCAATTGTACCATTCCACATACCACCACTTTAGTTTTCTAACTAAATGCTTGGGGGTCGTTTGCTTCATGGATTTAAAAATGAGGGTTTTGTAATTTAAAAACCCAAGGATTTATCAAGGATTTGAGGCATCATGGATTTGTAACAATCCTTTGTTTGTTGGGATGTTTTTATCATGGATTTAAAGATGTGGGATTTACTACTTGAAGTCAAAAATTACATTACTGCCCTTTTCTATATGTTTGACATGTTTATGATATGTACACAAAACAAGGACAATACATACTAATAAGCATAATGTTGCCACATGGACAATAATAATAAACGAGAAAATTCCGTTTTAACTTTTAACGTAACATAATCAATTACCAATTCTTTGTCCTCCTTTTCAAAAGTAACATATAACAACATATATTAGAATCGGGAGAACAAAGAATTACACGTTCCATGAAAAGGTCAAAGAAAACTAGAACACAAGAAATGATATAAAAAATCTAACTCATGTTTGCACATTAATTGAACGTTTATATTATTCATTTATTGTTAATTATAATGTATAATAGTTAAATTTGAGGGCAACCTTGGAATATTAAAAGTGCATGAGGGTATATGGGTAAAATCTCATCAAGGATTTATACCATATTCCAAATCCCACATCAACATGTGGGATTTATAAGTCCGTGGGGTCCACGGATTTGGACCCTTAAAATCCGTGGGCCCCACGGATTTGGTATCCAAAAAAGGTGCAAGCAAACAACGGATTGTACCTAAATCCTTGATAGTTGGTTTTTTGGTACCAAATCCATGTACCAAATCCTTGAAGCAAACGACCCCTTGATTTTGAAATATAGGAAAGATGGCTATGTTATGGGAAGAGCATGATCCGGTACAATATGAAATTGAACCAAATTGGTATCCAGATAAAAAATAAAAAAAAAGAAGAACCAGAATCGGATCAAAAGAGCATTCAATCTGATCCTGTCTGTTTTTCTCTTATCTTTTAAGATGCTACTAGTTTTTTGGCCCGCGCTCCGCCGCGGTAAGAAACTAATGATTTATTTGAAATCAAATCATTCACAAAATTATTCGATTAAGATACCTACCTAAATTTCACGTATAATCATTGCGAATAACATGTCATTTGTTTGTGTAAGTGATACATAATAAATAACTATCCCTACATAAGGTTTACGTAGTGTTTAATCATTATGTAAGATTACATAATATTTTGTTAATTGATACATACAAAATGATAATATGTTCATAAACTTTACATAATGTGTTAATCGTTAAGAAAGACTCATGTTACATACAAAATGATAATATGTTCATAAACTTTACTGTTAATCGTTAAGAAAGACTCATGTAATATCTTCGCTTACATAATAGCTATCACTTTATAAAATTTACTTTGTCTAGTGTCTATAAATTTTAAAAATGAAATTGTTATTTTATTTAATCGTTATATAATGTTGTTAATGTAACTGATATAGAATTTTTATATATAAATCTTTCATAAAATGTGGTCTAATAATAAAATCAAGTTATAGAAAGTAATGTTTTTAGTTAATTTGTAATTTATATAATTGTTATAGATGTTGTTACATAAATCTTTCAACATGTGCGGAGCTGAAAATTAGAAAACTATCGAAAGCATTAATATACGACTCTGACACAAGTACTAAGCAATAACTGACTAACATAATTTTGTTAAAAAGGAAGAAAAAAGTGAAGCGAGAATTGGAGGGAAAGAAATTAAAGTTTGGTTTGGGTGACCACTCGATTACATTTCAAATTATTTTCTAAATTACCCTTCTTTTCAGTGACATGTGACAATTCGATCTCTCTAGTTTTTATATATGAAAAACTTCTCCTTGTGTGGCAAGTATGGTGTATGTATGACTCTTGAATATGGGGCGGGGAGGCCAAAATCATACTTGTCTCATAAAACTTGCCCATACTCAGTCAATGTGGGAATTTTCTTCGTTGACTGGGTTGGGAGTGGTTGGGTACCCACAATTTGTGGTTTTGATTTGCATCCCAAGTGTAATTGGTAAATAAGAAATAATTATTTTCTGTAACCTTTATGTAGTATCTTAAAAATTTCAAAACAATTTTTTTGGTAAATATAATGCTAAAAGAGCATCCTTGTCATTGCGGAAGACTTACATAATTTTTTTTAAACTAATACATAAGAAATAACTATATCCTTATAAGTTCTAAGTAGTTTATTTATAAAATTTCAACTAAATATTTGTTTATTTGTAATTTATGTAATTGTTATAGAATGATGTTACTTAATGTGTGGTATAATAATAAAATCAAGTTTCAGATGTTACTTAATGTGTGTTCTAATAATAAAATCAAGTTTCAGAAAGTTTCACATTTGTAAATTAACTTACCTTACATTTGATTAAATGATCATGTAGAATTAGTGTACCTTTCATAACTTTTATGCAATGCAAATTGATGTAATGATCAATAATAGTAAAGGAATTTTCGTTCAAACTTATATTAATTCACAAAAATGTTATAGAATGGTGTTACGTAAATGTGAAGTAATGTGTGGTTTAATAATAAAACCAAATTATGAAAAGTATTGCATCTTATTAAATTGTTATATAAAAGTTAACAAATTTTAAGTGGTGTCTTAATAATTAGGATTCAAAAAGTGGACTTTGGCCCTCTGCTGGCATGGACTCGATGCTTATGATAATAGATGTAATAAAAAATGCAGCAAGAAGTATAAAAAAAGGGGGATTTTGGCGTTCTCGGGAGGTTGGGAAGTTTGGGTGGGTGCTGCTGCAGGGAATAATGGCCTTAGTGAACAGTGACACGGGGAGATTTTTTCGTGATGAACAGTGCATTAAACTTGCACTTTTAATTAATTAATTAATTAATATGACTAAAAAAATAAAAAAATGGTCTTGAATTTGAAAATAGAAATCAAATAGAATTTTGTTCACTCCAATCAGATTCAATCCAAATATCGATTTGATTTGTCTGATTTGGATCTAATTGTTGCCCACCAGTAGCTATGTCACAGTCCTCCCAGCCACACTTAGGAATGGCAATGGGGCAGGTCCGGGGCGGGTTTCTTGGTACACAGACCCGCCCCGTGGCAGGTCGGGTCCAGGTCGGGTAATTGATCTCGGGTCGCGGGTCGAAGCAGGTCGACCCAATGGGTATGCAATTTATATTAAAAACATTAGCAATATTCGTTATTTTTATTATAAGACTAAGAAAACAAACAATATTATGACAATTGTAGTTAAATTATTGGAGAAATTGAGGTTTTCACTAATTTACAACTTTCTTATAGCTAAAAATATGATGCAATAAAAGGATAATCCTAAGTAATTCGACTAAGATTACATGTAATTTAGATAAGAACGGGTCGAGAATGGGGCGGGTCAGGGCAGGTCGGGTCGATGAGACTACCCATGCCCGCCCCGCCCCGCCTACGGGACGGGTCGGACCCGCCCCAAAACAGGTCAAACAGGTCGGGTAAAACGGGTCAGGTCAAAATTGCCATCCCTAGCCACACTCATGTATGCACTTATCAAAACTTTGTAGCAAGGACATGAATGGCAGATGGGTTCATAAGTCATGCATATTCAATAAGGCAACAAACACTACCAAGACTATGCATACCTGCTCCGTAAAACAACACTCAGCATACCAATTTGCTTAGCTGCGGCAACTCCAGATTGGCTTCCGCTAACCAGAACACAATCTTGGTTCTTGGACACGCTGACAAGCAACCTCTGCCGCTGCACGCAGTGCAGCTACAACCTTATCTATGCTGCACGATACCCGACACATCATGTAAAACTAGAATGCCACTCGGGGTAAAGCGAGGTATTATAACCAATGTACTTGGAGCAAGAGTTTTACCAACCTCTCAGATGAACTACTACCAAGCTCTACTTTTAACTTCAACATCGATGCAACTTCTTCAGCAACCCTTTGTTTCTCAGCGGAAGCTGATGAGGAGAAGCAAAAACCAACCTATTTTCAGTGGAAGATTCTGGGACACAGCCAAGTGAGGAATCTACGAGGGTAGGATTCACCTGCTTTCTGCACTTGCCTAGCTAGCTGCTCATCCAAACCAGAGGACACTCCTTTGCCAAGAACAAGTTGTCCGTATAAACTCTGTCCCATTTCCAACAACCTTGATCTTCTGCATTCTTGACTCCCCAAGCTTTTTTATAATAGATCTAGAATTGCCAAGCACATTGAAGCAAAAGAAGAAGAAAAAAATCTGGACCTCCAACTATACTCCAAGAACAACAGTGTGGTGCGAGCAGGTGGTTAACCCAGGGATGAAGCAATTTTATCGACAATAAATCAGCCTTATGAGAGTACTGAGTACTGACAAATAAATACAGGGATTTCCTGAACCCGATAAACGAAGCAACACTTGGTACAAGCCATGTGCACTTTAGCAACAATCTTATGTTTTAGTTTGGTGATCAAAGTCAATTTGTGCAGCACTTTTTTAAATTACTGTTTCAAATTGCACCTTTTCATTTTATAGCAGAGTAGAAGTCAGTATTTGTCCCTTACAGCCTTACTTGAACTCCAGAGAATGGATCATACCTGGCTACTTTTTCATCACTTTTACCATCAGACTCTCCACAATGTAGTGTGGTTTAGGGGGAAAAGTGGGGAAATAACCCATAATGTGGGTGGGAAAGATGGAAAAAGTAGAGAAAAGGGGAAATTTTGGGTGGAAAATCCACCAAAAAAAGACAAAAGGTGGGGGAAGGGGAAGAGGTGGATCCTGCGTCTGTTTGTTATTTGTTTTGTTATTATTTTAATGGTTTAATGATTGTTTTTAGGGTTTAGTGTTTATTTGTTTGTTTTTATTTCTTCTTAATTATGTTTATGTTCAACTATCAATGTAACAACTTTCTTGTATAAATTATTGTGATTTCGTCATTAATGACGTTAATTAGTGATGAAAAAAATTATGTCCAAATTAAAAAAAAAATTATATCAAAATGTTCGTATTCATTAATTATCACTAACTATGTAAAAATAATGATCATTATATAAAAATAAAGTGTTGAAATCAACTATAAATTGATTTTACAAAAAAAAGTGTTCAACCAATTACCCCCTTTTCCCACACCCACATTGTGACCGAACCCTCTCATTTTCCCTCTTTTCCCACCTTTCCCACCCGGGAAAAGTTAATCTGCTAACTTGAAAATTCGTTAGCAGATACTAACTGATATCCAAAATACATGAACTAGTATCCAAGTACTAAAGTATCTAGAGATCACATACTAGTATTCAAAGTTTGCTAACTGATATCCACCACGAATCAACTATTATCTCAAATTCACAAACAAATATCTAGACAACACAGAATAGTATCCATACAACACATAATTAGTATCCACATAACACATAAAAGTATCCAAATAACACATAAGAGTATCAATATTGAATACTAGTTGGTTGATTGTGGATATTAGTTGGTATCTGCTATCTGGATACTAGTTTGTGATGTTTTGAATACTAGTCTGTGCTATCTAGATACTCAGCAAACTTGGATACATGTTCATACATTTTGGATATTAGTTAGTATATACTAACAACTTATGCAGTTAGCAAAATAACTAGACTGTTCCCACCCTCCCACATTGTGGATGGTCTAAGCTGTCATTATAACCACTGGTATCCCTTCATCATAGGCATCATCGATAAAATTGCAAAATACAACATTTCTAAGTTTCGCCTATTTAATAGCATAACATCTGCCTAACGTTTTCAAGGTTCATCTATGAGACGACATGACTCACTCCTCAACTCCAGGTCGTAAAGGTGAACCTTCAGATGCCACAAACGCATCCAGTGCTTTTTTCTGCCAACAATCACACATGCTGAAAAATTAATAAACTATTACTGTCACTCACATCCAGAAATCTCGGGGAGTTAAGAAACATTTGATGAACATGCAACCAAGAGAAAAAGATCTCAGCACCATAGTATTACAGCTAGCAAGAATACCTTCTCTTGTAGAACATTTTTCACGAACGCGCCTTTCTCGCTTGTCGGCAAAGAAGTAGGCCAACCAATCTGCAAGAAGATGCAGAAACTTTGTACAACCCCAACCACCTAAATGGTATTAATAACGTCGAAGACAAGAGGGATGGTGAACTTACCCGGTTAAAATACAAGAGCACCATTCTTTCCTCATCACCGGTACTCTTCCTGGGAACAGAGAATAGCCATGATTCTGGGACGTAAGATAGTTAATTTAAACAATGCCAACAACAAAAAGACATGCATTCTACCAATATAAATTCGTACAGACACTTAATTTGGCAACATCTAGATCAGAAACTATTCTCTAAATGCGAATAGAGCATAAAGGTTTGTATCATCATGACATTAGGCATGTGATTAACTAATAAATTCAACGAGGAGATTTCAGGAAACTGCATATACAATGAAAATGAACGAAGCCAGACCCTAAAAGGTCCATGTAGATAGGTTCAGTCCAATTTGCACAGTCAAGTCCAAGCTTCCGAAATGCTGATAAGAAAAGAAGGGACGGAAATTGGCAACTGAGAAAACAATTTAAATTTCCAGAGTTCACTTCAAGTTCAACTGAAGTTAACAGTGAACGAAGAAATAACCTCACCTACGTTGAAAGCTTGGTGATTTCCCAAGCGATATGCGTCCATAAGGACTCTGCAAGAGACACAAGAGATTTCAAAGGCGCCGTAGTGGGGGAAATAATTTAACACAAGGTGAAATAAAAAACTATGAAATGGGAGATACCCATCAACTTCAAGGAGAACAGCAAGCTCCGGAGATGGGTTTTGCTCCGGAAGAGTTGAGGCGAAGGGTGAATTGCTTAAAGCAGTGAACCGGTTGGGCGGCTTTAGATATTTACCCGCCGAACTCTGGAAAGGAAAGGAAAATGAAGGAGCCAAATAGAAACTGATGAAGCTACGTTGTGGGACTTGGGCATAATTTCTGCTAGCGCCGGCGCCGGAGGACCCGAGGGTGTCAAGAATTGAAGAAGAAGCAGACACTGAAGCCATTTCCATGGCAGGCATGGATACTAACTAACATTAACTGCGTTTCTTTTGGAGTGCAAAAGACAACCGACTCATTTCTTGCTCGCTCATTGTGGGTTGTCAAACGAGTTTATACCATTACCATAGTTTAGCAAGTGAAATGGTTTGATTGATGGTATAATTGATTTGTATCCGTTTATGTCAGTTTAACAAAGTATATAAATAATTGTGAAAAATCATTAATATCATATGAATTTAATCATATTAAGAAGAGTTAATGGAACAAACAACCATTCCCGGTACACATAGACATTAGACCCAACTCATTGTTCATTTGGACTAAGTTTCCGATAGAACTCGAGTCCGAGCTCTACCGAACGATTAGTGATTAGGATCAACTAGGGATTGATCCGGAGATTTGGGAAATGGAAAAAGAGTAGATTTTGGGGTTGATCAAGAGAAGAGAGGGAAAAAGAGATGCTGCCGCGGCAGCCAAGGGAAAAGGGAGGAAGGCTCGGCGGCCAGAGGAAGGGAGAGAGAAATTAAGCAACTAGGTTTAGATTTAATTTAGCTTAGTGGCTTAATCCCACTTACAAGTAATTATATAATAATTGGATAATTTCCTATTGCTACCCGACATATAATTTATTTCCCAATTCCCGAAATAGTCCCAATAATTTGAAATAACCATAGTCCGATAATTAATCAAAATAACTAAATACTAGTTTCTATCTTCCCCGCTTCCTTCAGAAAACAACCTTGTCCCCAAGGTTGGTCCTCTAACTCACTGGGTCTCCTTCTCGCCATTTCCGACGTCCTCGGTCGCGTCCTCTGCTTCGTCCTCCCATCGTCCAACTAGCATCATCAAATCCGGTTTCGGGCATTGATGACCCACCTCGGGCCGACCACTACTGGCCACCCAGCTCTGGTCCGACCCACCTCGGACTGACCACTGCTGGCCCACCCCGCTCCGGTCCGCCCCGGTTCAGTCCGCCCCGACCCGGGCCGCCCACTATTGGTCCGACCAGTCATGGTCCACCCAGGGCTGGCTCGCCCGACCGGTTCAGCTGTCCCGCTTGGTCTGCCACTCCTCTGGTTCACCCCTGGTCGGCCCACTGCACTGGACGAGCCACCAGACTGAACTCGCCCTACTCGGGCTCGTCCTCCAGGTCCAACCATCCAAGCCCATTGGTGCTTCTTGCGATCTGGCCCATCATCTCGGGCCCAACAGTCTCCGGAGGCCCCTCCGTGTCATAACCGGGCATTTTTCCCTTTCCTTTCCGGGCCGCCATCTCTTGGCCCGACGGTGTAGGCAAAAGCCCAGGCCCGCCACCCTGACCTAGCGTGCCGTGACCCGCACGCTCTCGAGCCGCCGCCTGGTCCCCCGCGCCACCAATCACCGGCACCGCCTCCAACTCCACTACTGGCGCCGCCGCTGACGCCGCCCCACTCCCCGCGGCCCGGCCGCCCGCGCTGATCCCTGCCGATCCCACTGCCGCCCCGGCGCCGCCGCTCGTGCCTATCGCCGCCGGCGCCGCGCTAGTCCGGATATCGCCGCCGGTGCCGAGTGCTGCGGCGTCCATGCGCGCATCCGACCCACCGTCCCCATCTGACGACAACGGCCGCCACCTACCTCGCATCTCCACCATCATGGTATGGAGATCATCGAGCCGGCGCCAAACCCGCCGTGACTCCTCCAACCGCTCCTGGCGTTCGGTCGCTACTAGATCCACGAGGATGCTGAGGCGGTTTTGCACCATCTCCTGCTCCGTCAAATCCTCCAGCTCGCCATCCACCGGGCTGCATGGTGAAGGAAGGGGCGGCCGCCCTTCCGAAGCCTTGGACGTGGGTGGAGCCCCTGTAGGCGCCTCCTGGGTGTTCTCCGGCAGCCCGACCGCCGCCGCCGCCGCTTGTTCCTGTGCAGCCTTGGCCGCTTTCTCAGTTGCCATTTGAGACTTGGTGGACACCATGATGCCAGTCAAAGGAAGAATTGGCTCTGATACCAATTGATAGAACTCGAGTCCGAGCTCTACCGAACGATTAGTGATTAGGATCAACTAGGGATTGATCCGGAGATTTGGGAAATGGAAAGAAGAGTAGATTTTGGGGTTGATCAAGAGAAGAGAGGGAAGAAGAGATGCTGTCGCGGCAGCCAAGGGAAAAGGGAGGAAGGCTCGGCGGCCAGAGGAAGGGAGAGAGGGAAATTAAGCAACTAGGTTTAGGTTTAATCTTGCTTAGTGGCTTAATCCTACTTACAAGTAATTATATAATAATTGGATAATTCCTTATTGCTACCCGACATATAATTTATTTCCCAATTCTCGAAATAGTCCCAATAATCTGAAATAACCATAATCCGATAATTAATCAAAATAACTAAATACTAGTTTCTATCAGTTTCTCTGTTCATTGGCCTCTGATTGGTTGTTGCCCTGGCGTGTGCCTGTGTGACTTCCTTTCTTTCGTTGTCAGCGGGCAGTGCCAGTTTGGGCACATTTTTTATCGCTTTCGGCGACTCTCTCTGACTGAGGGTTGTTTGCGGTGGGAATCGCACCGAATGCGGATGCATGCTGATTTTTGCTTCTCTCTCCTTTCCTTCCTTCCTTCTTTATTGTCCCCTCACCTTTATCGCTGAACCCTTGACGTTGCTCATACGGAGAAGCATTGTCCTCACCTCTTGCCTTCTCTCTTTCTCCCTCAAGTTTTGCTAATAATTTATGTCGCTGCTTTTCTATCCTCTTAGCCCTTTGCCATTGCCTCGAGGGAAGCATAACCTCGCTGCTTCACTTTGCAGAGATGACATCTGATGCGACACCTTCCTGCCCTTCTCCTCCACCACATGTGCTCTTTCCTTTTAGTTGGCATCCCCTAGGTTTATGTCAAGAACCAGTTGCTCCCAATAACTCGAGCTGTTGGGAGAGGTTCAATCGTGGATCATATACCGTTTACTAATACCCCCTTCAAACTCAAGCCATTCAAATAGGCTTGGAGTTTGGACAGACACAGGTCCGGACACCGTGTGCTTAACAGAAACAATTGGGGGTCACCGAGAATCGAACACAAGACCTCTCGGTCACAGAAGGCTCTGATACCATGTCAAGGACCAGGTGCGCGAGAACCCATATTGTGCTAATAAAGCCTTGCGCTGACGCTAATAGCCGAAAGGTGACAGAGAGGATGCCGAATTGCCTCGCCGACATCACAAATCGAGGCAGAAGCGGGATGACCGGTTGTGGTTTTCTACTAGGCATCAACCAGCCGCATCGACCGACGATACGGAGCCGAGTTGATGACACCCCGTGGGATTTTCTAGTCGGAGCTGCGGATCGGGCGAGAAATACAGTGGCTACAGGATGCTTCTTTTGTGTCGTCGACCGACAGGGAGAAGGAAGCCCGAATGAGTAGCGTGGTTGCGGAGCCTATTCCCCACTGCCTGTCATCGGGGTAGAAGACGAAGAAGAAGTTGTTGGCAAAAGGTGGAGGTCAAGGGGTGAAGCATAATCAGAAGAAAGGAAGCACAAGAAACGGAGGAGCCGATGTGCGGGTGGTAAGGGAAACGCAGAGAAGTGGATCAAGTTGGTCAACCTTGATGGCAAGTTGATCTCAAGGGAGTGGATTGTTAGAAAATCAGTTTTTTTTATATTTTTATTGTTATTATATTTATTATTGTTGTTATTAGTAATAATAATAGGATGACTAGCACCTAAGTAAGGCCAAGTAGTTATGATTTTATTAAAATTTTCTAGTATTTCCTATAAATATGTATTTGGGTTTCATTAAGAATAAATCAAGAAGTATATTAAGAAAAGTCTCTTAATGCTAATCTCTCCTAATCCTCTCAAATCTCTACCCCTCTCTCCCCTAAAGGCCACCTGCATATTCTTCCCCATTCTCCACAATTTTGTTCTTCAATCCCTAATCCTCAATTATTCTATCTTAAATCCCAAATTCTTATTCCCAATCTTTAAATCGTTTTCATATATCATATTTGTTCCGGGTAATTGCGGGTGTCTAAGATCCAAAATACGACCCCGAGACACCCTAGAACAAGGTTTCTTAGAACTTCCCAATTTGCAATTGAAAAATTACAATCCACGTCATGAAGAAATTGGAAAAGATAGTTGATGTGGATACCTTGAGAATTCGAAATGAATTTTTGTCATCTCATTCATGCCACGTAGGTTGGGTTTTTTTGTCGACTTCTCTCATAGAGACCCTGTCATTGGTTTCTTCATTTGTCGCCAATGGCATAACCATGTCCACTATGTTTTGGTCACCCTTATGAGGAACTTAGTCCCTCAAAAACAAAGACAAGAGAGTGTGACAGAGCTGCTGGAGGTTTAAGAGATAACTGAAGGATTTTTCTAGAATGTGATCTACAGAAGTGTCTGACATTTGAGATTTTAGACTGAAATTTCTTATTCCAACATTTCAGCACCACTACAACTGTAAAATTGAAAAGTTCTTTCACAAAGCAAAGTCCTATAAAACTCAATGGGAGTTGGATGATCAAGTGGTCACAATTATTCTAATGGATGAAAATCTAGCATTAAGAAGGTCGGTTGTGAAAAATCATGGTGAAAGAAAAGACATACTCCTCAGTACTAGGTGAGGCCACAAGGAAAAGCGAGGCAGGAATGAAAGGTGTTGGTTGGACCAAAGTTGTCTACCGAAGACGGATTTCATGAGACAAACTAAGACCTCTCTAGTCGTTTTGTCTAGAAATTAAGTGAAGACAAAGGAATCTACATCGGCAATGTGACTTTATGAAATACATGTTAATGTCTAACCTACCCCATTGAGTTCCATATTACTTATTGCCGACGGCCAGCCTTGGATAAGTTCCAAGTGATCTTATTCACATCTCGATTGTTAATAAAAATACCAACCGAGAATGGCATCGAGGCATTTCGATAGTGTTATAACTTATAATTCATCCTTAATCCACATTTAGGTGTCTAAAATGGATGCTTAAAAGGAGGAAGCGCACATCAAGCCTATTGATGAGGACCAGAAAGTCCCAC